TATAGAGGTTTCCCCGGTAACGGCTGTAATCAAATAAGCACTGCGCTCACAAACGCTACTTTATCAGGCATTACAGGAAAGACGAAATGAAAACGACACCGAAGCTTTTCTGAAGACGGTCGGTTCTTTTCAAAGATACATTCATATAAAAACACCAGCGCTGCATTTTAATTTTGAAACGTGCAGTGATCCGTTTATTCACATTTACATTTAGTCATTTTGCAGACGCTTTTATCCAAAGCGACTTCAACGATATTCCACGAAGTAATAACTCAATGTATGGGAAACACTGGACACTGTTATAAGCCAAATGGCCAAGTGGTAAAAATAAAAGAGTTCACACATATTACACAGTCTGCTGCTCATAACTGCTTAAGAGTTCACTGGCCACGAGCGATGACATCGTGGATGCTATTGTTGGACCTACACACACATTTCACGAGGAAAGTTAACGTGCACGTGACATTATAATCAGCCCAAAAGTTTCGTCTGAATTGCACGTGTTTCTACTTTCACATGCAAATGACCTGTTGCACTTATGAATATGATAACTTTCCGGCATCAATTCTAGTAGGGTAAAGCGTAATCCCGCTTTCGAAACGGTCTGTTTTGCCCTGCCATTAGCTGAGGCTGTGTGTGAACAAGACAGTAGGGTAAAATGTAATTACGCTTTCGAAACGGTCTGTTTTTCCCTGCCATCATTAGCTGAAGCTGTGTGTGAACGAGCCGCGACTGCAGAGTGTGAGCTGCTCCGTCTCACGCAGCCAGAAAGATTCTCCGGTGTTCCGCAACAATGCTTAGCTGCCCGCAGATGCGCCTGCCTATAAATCGGCCTAATTTGCAGCACAATCAGCCGATGCCGATTAATTAAAAATGCCTCTAGTCGACCTCTAGTGTTAACTAAGCGAGACATGCAAAATATGCAGAACGAGGGGGCACGAGGACTGGAATTGGGAACCGCTGGGCTACATCATGTGTCATTCACCGGTGAGAAAACTTTAAAAGTGTTATTATTAAATCAAATTATGTATATGAAATTATATAACTAAATGATATGTATATGAATTATATAACTAAAATTAAACTGTAATTACAGATTTAGGTTGAATAAAGATGTCAGTCTTTTTACTCTATTTTTCTTCTTTTTAGGAAACAAATCAAATAAAAAAAACAAATTCTACTGTTCCTAATATTCTGTATGTTGCTCAAAAACAAAATATATTATGTTCAGCGGGGAAAAGTTTTTTTGTTTTTTTTTACCCAGTCATTTAAAAATAACACATTTTAGAGCTGTAACGACAATACCGTGAAACCGTGCAGGAAGGAAGATCGGGTTGTTGATGTCTGCCATTCTCGCTCTGTCTGCACAGCGTGCGTGAACGCGCTGATGACGTATCCTGTCTGCGCGAACCGGGTGCGCAGAGGTAAGCTAATACATATGTTGACAGTCAGGTAGGAAAGCCAATTAAAACGCTCGGAGAGAGCGTTTTGATTGGATGAACATTTCTTGGTCCTACGCCTTCCACAGAATATATAAATACAGATAAATACATTCAGACCACTTAACTTAATGATTGCTATCGGGATGTGAAGAGACTTTCAACCAGCATAACAAAAAAAATTTTCTGAAGACAATCACCTATTGCACCTTTAATCATAATGACACTTGTTTGGAGGCTCGTATGTTAAAACACTGCTGAGAAAACCCAAGAAAAAGTGATGCAATTTATTGATTTAATTTTGTTATTATTCATGTTTGACGTGATGACTATTAGAAAGCATAGGCTATGTGACTAGGCTTCAAATCAGTTTGGGTTTGTACACAATCATTTCAACTGCATCTGTGCCAAATTTTATATCTCAAAGTACTTTAAGTTATGGCATTTGGAAACAAGGTAGCCTCTCTGAACATAAGAACTTCTTACATGTTTAAAAGCCACAATAAAACTTAAAAATACTTATTACATAGAATAAGCAACAACTACTATGATCCTGATTGATGACCTTCCAGTGCGCTTTCAGTGTGTGCTCCTATTATAAAGCGCATGGTAAAGTAAGACCTGTCAATCTGAGCGATCAGTCCAATCCAAGCGAGCTCCCACTATTAAACAGTGATTGATTGGTCCCTACTAGGCATGGGCCGATTACCGGTTTCAAGGTATACCGCGATTTGAAAATTTTACGGTTTCCAAACCACATTTTAGAGCTGTAACGACAATACCGTGATACCGTGATATTTTTGTTTAAGGTTATCATACCATCAAAATCTCATACCGGCCCATGCCTCGTCCCTACACACCATACCCACCCACCATACCTGAGATCGAGCTAACACTGGTTGAACTTTGAACTATGACGCTGGAAGACAATGTGTCATGATCGCAATGAGATCTGATCCATGAAGTCCAATAGCTTTAGCCAAGTAGTATATAATGCTTTCCGTGGGGATTTTCGTACGATCTACATATTGTTTTATGTTGATTTTGGGCTTGTTTGAATCAAGAACACCTGCTCTAAATGAAGACATGCAATCTACTATAGTTTACTAACGTTTCTCAAAGTTATAAACCAAAACGTAGCACACATTTTTACATACAAAAACTCGCCATAGTTTGGTCTCTAACTGAAACAAATCTGCTTTTTATACCATACCATGACACATGTTTGATGCTTTTGCAGTTCACATTTTCAAGTAGATCAAGTCAAACCGTTGGAAACCGTTTTTGGAGTACCTATAATATTTCAGGAAATTTAAAACCAATTGTTAAGAATCGGTCATATCTGCTATATCGTTAGCTATAGCTAACGATATAGCAACGACCCAGTGGTCGTTGTCTCAGACGACCACCGGGACAAAACCACAGGAACCAGATGAGTCCCCTGCACAATGTGACTTTGCTGCAGCCTGAAATTGAACTGCTGGTTTTGTCTGGCCAGAGGAGAACTGGCCCCCCAACTGAGCCTGGTTTCTCCCAAGGTTTTTTCTCCATTCTGTCACCGATGGAGTTTTGGTTCTTTGCCGCTTCTCCTCAAAGACTGAAAGTGTAGGAATCCCTCAGGTTGAGTGCAGTGTAGAGAGTAACACGAGCCTCCTCCTCCTGTTGGTGCGAGCGAGCGGTCAGTCACGTGTGTGTAGGATGGCCGAACTAAGGAGCTTCCCCTGGAACATACGCGATCGGCAACCGGCCGTTTTTTGTCTTATTGCAAGCAAATCGTCTCTGTTCTGGACTTGCACAAACTGCGTTGCAATGCAATCGTTTTCCATAATGTCATTTATGTGATATTCACTGTAAATCCAAGCTTCTAAGCTTTAAAATGACACCTATTTTGTGTTAGTGGTTATGAAGCACCATGATGACTAGGGCTGAAACAATTAGTCAACATTATCAACAACAACGACAAGAAAAATTGTCTACAAATTTTTTTTGTCGTCGAATAGTTTTTTCTCATATGACCTAATGCAAGGGTCTGCAATAACGCGTTTTGACCAGTGTGGCGCTGTAGCGCAAGACTAATTCAGCACTCCAGGATGCAATTCAAGAGAAGACGACATACACTGGCAGTGAGAGTCAAGAGTGCAAACGCAGCAGAACCAGACGCTGCTGAGAGCAGCGTTTAGATTAATATGTAAAAATCTCCTCTCGATAACGAAATAAACACACAACAAAAATGACAGCGGTGAGATAACAGCAGTTAAGAAAGCATCTGATCTTAGCCATGTGGATAAGTTTGCAGCAGCTCTGCAATTTCAGCAATCCAGTCACATCACGCTCATTTATATAGTGCTTTATAGGTTAATTTAGGGAAAGAAGCTTTACAGTGTTAAACAAAAACAGTGTCCGTGTCGCTTTTAGATACAACAAAGACTATAGAATAACCAAGAGGTGTCACTCGTATAGTTTTGAATGAGGGAAAAATGCAACGCTCAATATGGCAGCTCTATCAAAGGAAGCCCCACCTTCTGAGTAAAAGCGCCAATCGCTAATCAGTAAAGTCTGCCTGTCACTGCAGCTGCCGTTAGAAGTCCCGGTTGCTATAGAAACAGTCAGCGTTCTGAAACGTGAGCTCAGGACTGCGCATGCGCACTGACTGGTCTACCCTGAAAAATAAGCTTTTTTTTAATGCTGTTTGAGCAAAAGAAAAAAACATTTATGAGACAGTTGTTGTCATATTTCATTGGTGATTTCAAATATGGAGAATTTTAAATCTTTTGGAGAATTTGATGTTTCCCCATTCAGAGAGATAGGAGTAGTAGTATATAGCCTATATTTATTTCATGTAATGCCATGTCAGCATCAAAGGCTTTTTTCATGGCAAAAACAATAAAAACAAATACAAGTATAACAAATACAATAAAAACCAGCAAACAAACAAACACAACAGAGAGATAGGAGCTGCACTTGCATGCCCGAGAGGCGTTTCAAAGATGGCCGCTGAGTGAAATGACTTGTCTTAAAGGGACTTTGGTTACAATTACAACTTGATTTTCTGTTATTAAACAGCTTTTTTCCAGTGTGGAGCTAGCTAATGATAAAACCTTTTTATTAGTAAATGCAAAAATACATAAATAAATAGATCAGGTCTGTTTTGATAATTATAACACTAAGGTGTTTTAAGCTAATGTTGTGAATAAAATAATTTATAAAAAAATAAAATGTCTTATTTACCTTTACTTTGCTCAATATCCATATAATTTACAAAAGGTGATGTTAGGTCAGTCAACACTTTTTCGTACGGTTAATAAAATAGTGAATGAGAAAGTCTCTCTGTCATCTCATTTTGTGTGCCACATATATTTATTTGTATTGTAAAAAATAAATGGGCCTATAGGCCTAATTGTACAATAGTAATATAATTGACATTTTTTAAAAACTGAAGTGATTAACTTGTTGTATTTATTAGTTAGAATATGTGTAACTCAATTTAACAAATTATAAAAGCTGAATAATATAACAAAGCCTACTAATTGGTGAAATAATCAACAATTAGTTGATTAATCATTGTAATAATCGTAAAGACCAATTATCAAAATAATCAACTGTATGTAAAAGAGCATCTTGAACATTCTGTAAAATATCACGTTGTGTGCTTCACAAACGTCCTAGAGGTTTTGAGCTAAACAAGTATTTGTAAATATGTTTACAAATTTCATATTTCATTTTCTTTTTTGGGGGGGGTATTTTTTATTTTTATTTAACTATTCCTTTCAATGCCAAACACAAACGCTATTTAATCTATTAGTCTATTTGTTGAGGCAACTTAATAATGGTTTCCATATAGGCCTAGTCTATATCACATAATTATATAAATAAAGTGCATTATTTTTAAAGTGTTGCCTATAGATCCTAACACTGGATAGTACGTTTCTACATACAATTTGCTTTTAGTCAATAAAACTTCAAACCTTCAATTTTATTCATTAAGCAGTATTATTTGAAACTGTGGGAAGCAGGAAGTATGATCAGCACAACATAACAACAGACAGACTTTTTCAACGTTTTCAACAAACTGCCAACAACATGATTCAATTTAAGTCATCAAGTCACAAAAATGACGTTTTCCAAAGTCATATATCTAGTGTAGGCCTAAACTGTAGCCTGCATGTAAGTTACACCTTGGTGTTGACATATGTTGCCGAGTTACAGCCACTAAAACATTCAACGTTATTAATTATCAAAGCCAACAGATTACGCTAGAGGAATTTATCAAGTGTCTTTATTGCTACCACAAAAGCGATCTTAAATCGATTCCAAAAAATCAACTAGCAGCTGAAAGCAATGTATCTAGGTTGTTTCCTGACTCTCCCAGTGAGAAATGGCAACTCACTCCAGCACCCGCACACACTGCTCAACTACAAGCAACGTGTTTCAAATTCGGCACACTACGGTCAACGTGAATCTCAAAGCAACCAAAAAGAATACAAAAGTTACTTACCAAACTCTTCCAAATACTGTGAGGGGGGGAAACTAACCGTCAGTGGTTGTGTCAGTACGTACGCACGTCATCATAAACGCTTCTTCCAGTTGCCAACTCTCGCGAGACAAATAAGAAACCGCAACTTCAAAAACAGGCCCAATATTGTTTGATAATTTATTATCATCAATATTATTTATTATCAATTATTTATTACCAATAAATGAGCCCGCAACATATTAAACTGAAACTACCCTTTTATCTGAAAAGCAAAAACACAAGTTATTTTACAGAAATCAGCAAACTGCAACAAAGCAGGAACAAAACTCATCTCCAATCACCTGTGATCAGAATAGGATTGAACAGATGGAAAAGCAGGAAAAACACAAGCGCTTCAGAGGGGAGCTGTAACATAGCCACATATTTATAGCCTATTAAAATATTGGCTATTCGAACCAAATCTACTCTTAGTATAGGCCTACTTGTTTTTGTTTTGTTTTTTTACAGCCCGTGATAATTAATACATTACAAAAACATTGTAAAAATTAAAAATTAGGCTACCTTGTAAGGGAAAAAAGTCATCCTACTCCTCTACGTCTACTACTATCATCGCTTTGATTACAGCGTCACGCGCCTTCTTTTTGAACGTGATTTTTCTTCAATCCCTCATTGGAGAAAAAAAAGAAGGCGCGTGTGGAGGGGGCGGAAAATTGGACAAATTACGCTACAGCACTTATATTTTTGCACTGATTGTCTATTAACTGTGAGCAGACAGAGTGTCAATCAATGCATTGGAGAATACGGTGAACATAACTGAAAAGAAACGAAGTTGCTTGTCAGGTTTTCCTAACAAGCAGCCATATTTTTTTAAATAAACCCAAAAAACCGCAACCCGGGATTTTTTCACGCAACTTTACAAAAAAAGAAGCCCAAAGTCGCGTATAATAGGCGGACTTGGCAACTCTGACTTCTTCTTCTGTGAGTTTATTGGCGGGTTGCAAACCAACTGGAAAGGTGCATACCGCCACCATCATAAACACTCCTTATGGCAAGCCAATTTAACATTGGGGTGGGCGGATCGATTCAAATATCGTTGGTATTGATACCAAATTTGGTATTGGTATTGGATTGATACTAGCCTGATAAGTATACTTTGGGTCAAGTTTCCCTCCTCTAAGCTTAGCACATTGCTCCCGTTTCATCAAAGACATGCCGCTCCTTTCACAACTCGTATGCATACTTTGCTCATCCTCTATGGCAGGGGTGGCGAACGTCAGTCCTGGAGAGCCGCAGCCCTGCAGAGTTTTGCTTCAGCCCTAATCAAACACACCTGAACAAGCTAATCAAGGTCTGAAGGGTTACTAGAAAGCTACAGGCAGGTGAGTTTTAATTAGGGTTGGAGCTGAACTCTGCAGGGCTGCAGCTCTCCAGGAACTGAGTTCACCACTGCTGCTCTATGGAGTCAATTCAATGCCATATACTTGCAAAAGAGTTGAAGTATTGCAAAAGAAAATAAAGTTTTGCAAACGAAAATGAAAGTAGCGAGAAAAAAAGAAGTTTTGCAAACAAAAATAAAGAATTGCAAAATATAAATGAAACCGAGCAAAAGCTAAAATTTTGCAACACATATTTTCCATGGCCATAGCTACTAATTTATTTGCAACGCTGCTTTTATTTTGCGTTTCAATCAAGTGTGAGCTCGTGATACCGTTTTTTTCCCTTTGCACTTCATGTTCCCTTTCAGTCGGTCACTCTCGACGTCATGTTGGTGATGACCGACGAATTGGGATCTCGCCAGAGAGACCAATCCACTTCGAGTGTAACTAAACAAGCTGTCGATGCCCCTATCTTGCGTGCGGAAATCGCAGTCCTGCTGGCGAAGGACGCGATAGAGCCGGTCCCTCCAGCCGATATGAGGTCGGGGTTTTACAGCCCTTACTTCATTGTGCCCAAGAAAGGCAGTGGGTTACGACCGATCTTGGATCTGTAAGTTTTGAACCGTGCACTTCACAAGCTGCCGTTCAAGATGTTGACGCAGAAATGCATTTTCGAATGCATCCGTCCCCAAGACTGGTTTGCAGCGATCGACCTGAAGGACACGTACTTTCATGTCTCGATCCTCCCACGGCCCATTCCTGCGATTCGCGTTCGAGGGGTGGGCATATCAGTACTGTCCCTCTCGCCTCACATCTTCACCAAAGTCGCGGAGGCGGCCCTTGTTCCCTTGAGAGAACAGGGTGTGCGCATCCTCATCTCGACGACTGGCTCATACTCGCACAGTCTCGCGATCAGTTGTGCGCACACAGGGACCTGGTGTTCAGACACCTCAGCCAGTTGGATCTTCGGGTCAACTGGGGAAAGAGCAAACACGTGCCAACGGCATAGAGTTGGATTCGGTCAACCAGATGACTGAAACTCTTTCAGAGGCTCCTGGGGCATATGGCTGCAGCTGCGGCAATAGTTCCGCTCGGTCTGCTCCATATGAGACCGCTTCATCACTATCTCCATGGTCGAGTCCTGAGTTGGGCGTGGCTTCGCAGTACTCACCGGGTTCAGATTACACCGGCCTGCCACAGAACCTTCAGCCCATGGTCAGATCCAGGGCCGCATTAAGACTGCACTGGGCCCCGGGGCTATGACTTACTGCAGGGCCCCCCAGGCCCACCTTAAGAAAAAATGTGCCATTCACTGCGCCTTAAATGTATAATTGCAGAAAAAATATATACGTTGTATTGAACATTAAAGAAGCAACAGATTTTGTGTAAAAATAAATCATTCAAGTTGTTTATTTTGTTTCAAAATCGTATAAATGTATGAAGTGGCAAGAGGGGCCCACACACGGGGTAAAAGGCACACGGTATTTATACAAATACTTCAGCTAAAATAATGTTTTTTTTTAAATAATGTCTAAGTTAATACTTCTTCAAAACAATCACTTTAGCAAAGTTTGTACTATTTTCTGCTTATTTTGAAAAATAAAAGTTTTTTTTTTTCCAATAAATATGCTGTCATTAAAATAATTATAATAAAATAAAAAATATATATTTTAAAATACAGAAACAAAATCGTTTTAATAAGTAAAGATTCTGAAAGTATTGAAGGAGATCCAATAATAATTGAATATATATTTACAGTAGTAACAGCAAACGATATTTTATTATATGATATGATTAATATCATGTTTTTAAATATGATGGTTTCATTCTAAACATGGTGATTATCTCTAATATGGACACCCAACATAATATATGATATTTACCATCTGAATCTAACCATGTCATGTCAACAAATGGAAAAGTCAGCCATGGTTATCTCTAATATGGACACCCAGCATAATATATGATATTTACCATCTGAATCTAACCATGTCATGTCAAGAAATGGAAAAGTCAGCCATCTATTAATTATCATGTTAATTACTGTGCGCCTTTAGCCCCAACAGCAGGGGGCTAAAATACCATACTTTTACATATTCTTTCGTTATTTAAAAATTGTTTCTTTAATTATCTAAAACAAAACTGAAAATCATAAAGAAGACCGTTCTCTCAAAATATATGCATTAATTTTAGCGATTCTCATTTGCTACTTAAATCTACAACATTTTTAAAAACAAAATATTAGATCAAGTAAGCACAGAATCAACTTTTTACGGAAAAGTAAACTAAATAACAGTGCTAATAAGTGGGGGGCGTGGTGGCTTTGGCGATCGGCGCTCCAGTCAATCTACTCCACAGCCAATCACGGGCCCCCTCCTTGCTCGGGCCCCGGGGCTTCAGCCCCGCCTAGCCCAATCGTTAAAACGACCCTGGTCAGATCCCTCGTTCCTTCGGGCAGGAGTGCCCCTGGCATGCTGTGTATCCAGGCATGCTGTGGTATTCACGGATGCCTCGGCCACCGGCTGGGGAGCCACGTACAACGGGCACGCAGTGTCAGGGGTTTGGACAGGTCCCTAACTGCGTTGGCATATCAATTGCCTCGAGTTGCTGGCAGTACTCCTTGCCCTGAGCCGCCTCAGAGGGCGCCTTCGGGGCAGGGACGTTCTGGTCCGCACGGACAACACTGCGAGTGTTGAGTATATCAACCAGCAAGGCGGTTTACACTCCCGTCACATGTCGCAACTCGCCCGCCACCTCCTCCTTTGGAGTCAGAAGCATCTGAGGTCCCTTCATGCCATCCACATCCCAGGAGTGTTCAATCGGGCAGCCGACAAGCTGTCTTGAGCAGCACTTCCAGGGGAGTGGAGAGATGCAGCTGATCTGGAGACGGTTCGGAGTTGCTCAGGTAGACCTGTTTGCATCTCCAGAAACCACCCACTGCCAGTGGTTCTACTCCCTAACCGAGGCAACGCTCTGCACGGACGCACTGGCACACAGCTGGCCCCAGGGCCTGCTCAAATATGTGTTCCCCCAAGTGAGCCTGCTCGCACAGACACTGTGCAAGATCAGGGAGGATGAGGTGCAGGTCTTGTTAGTGGCTCCATATTGGCCCAACAGGACCTGGTTCACGGAACTCATGCTCCTCGCGACAGCCCCTCCCTGGCCGATTCCTCAAAGGAAGGATCTCCTTTCTCTCTCTCTCTCTCTCTCTCTCTCGCTCTCTCTCTCTCTCTTTCTTTCTCTCTGTGTGTGCACTGTCTATATAAAATAACTAGTACTGTCGCATTATGGGATTATGTATTTTCTGTGGTACACTCTAAAAAAATGCTGGGTTGTTTCAACCCAACTTTGGGTCAAATATGGACTAGCCCAACTTTTGGGTTAAAAATGTAATTTTAAAATTTAACCCAACAGCTGGATTAGTCCATATTTGACCCAAGGTTGGGTTGAAACAACCCAGCATTTTTTTTTAGAGTGTGTCATTGATCATTTTCTCATTTATTTTTATTATTTTCTTTAGTGAAATTGACCCCTATTTACTGAATTAGTGGCACTTTTCACTGTTGGCTATTTTCTTTTCGCTTGCAAATGATGGAAAAAAGGTTGCATAAACATTTTGAAATTTTCAAATAGCCATCATTAGGTAATACTGTTTGTATTACTGTGACATGCTGTGAATTATAATTCCGCGTCTAAATGACTCTTCTACATCCATTGAGATGTTCTAGTTCCAGGGATTCCCAAAATATATATTATCAGTGTTTTGTATATATATGATCTATTTTAATATAAAATAAAATATTATATATTATATTCTATATGTTTATTATGTTTGTTACAGCCAATAATAGAAGTGAATATTAAACAGTACTTAGCTTTTTAATACTCTGGGTCCCTGAGTTAACTGAAAGTCTGCATGGGGTGTCCTGGGGACTGTAAATGTTGAAATCCCGCATCCAGACCTGTGGAAACTCCATGTGTGGTCCCTGGACGGGACACGGAGGTTCTAGGTGACCTACACCAGAAATGATGGAAAAAAGGTTGCATAAACATTTTGAAATTTTCAAATAGCCATCATTAGGTAATACTGTTTGTATTACTGTGACATGCTGTGAATTATAATTCCGCGTCTAAATGACTCTTCTACATCCATTGAGATGTTCTAGTTCCAGGGATTCCCAAAATATATATTATCAGTGTTTTGTATATATATGATCTATTTTAATATAAAATAAAATATTATATATTATATTCTATATGTTTATTATGTTTGTTACAGCCAATAATAGA